CGCATCGCATCTCATCCGCCCCCCTCTTCATTTTCTGCAAGTGTTTTTTCGCGTTGTTTTTCTAATCTGTCTCTCGTCCGTGTTCACGCAGGTTTTTGTTGTTTATTTTCTTACGGGCTTGTTGACAGCGACCAAATAGAATTCGATTGGATGGGATTGAGCTGCTGCGAAAGAGAGAGAGAGATAGAGCGGCACAGTAAATGGAATTAGCTGTTTATGTTTGCGGCTTCTGATTGCAAAACCTTAGGCGGTTATATGTATCTCTCTTATGGCTAATGGAAGGACAGGAAAATGATTTTATTTCAATATTATTATAATATTATTTTATATTATATTATACATATTATATTCCATACAAAATTTTTAAGCTTTAAATAAACTTTAATCTTTAGCCATTTCTACAGGCTGTCATTTTCTAACAATCGCTTTCTGCTGCTCAGGAAGATGAAATTTATTTGAAATGTATTAAAAATAAAATGAGAAAGTGTTTTTCTTCTGCTCTACCTCTTCATCTATCCATCACTCACTAATCTGTCACGTACATTTTCTAACGTTCCTTCTATCTATCATGATGAAAATAAGAATGATGATCAAGCTATTATATTTATTTATTCTCTATATCGCACACACACAAAATGTGTGTGTACACATTGTGTATGCGGTTTTCCCAGTATGGTTGCAAATGAAAAACTTGTAAAAAATAAGAAAAACCAGTAGATGGGAGGGGGATACCAGAATCAATTATATTTTACAATATCCGCTTTATTCTACCTGGAAGACCCTGAAAGACGTGACCAATTTAGTCCAAGTTACAAATATTTTATCGTTGTTGTTGTTGTCCCCTTATTTATTTTGTAATGAAATCAACATTTCTCTCTCCGCTACATAGATACGGGAAAGACGAGGTACGAGATACTGGTCCTTTAACGGCCGCAGCAACAGATGTGTCCTGGCGGTTATAGGCGTTTTGGAATAATTATGTAATAATTTGATTTTGTTTTTATGTCCTTTTTTGTAAGTCCTTGCGTTTTTTATGCTTACTCTCGGCTCTCTTTTTACTTAAATAATGCCCTATGTTGGCATTGGACATTAATCTGTTGCCCAATGCAGTGAGTAGGTTTAAAGAGTCTGCTTTTGGCATTAGGAAAATCAGTGAAGTATTATACTTGAATATTTTGGTACCAATTTACAATTGTGTAGTCTACTTTAGTCAGACACATTTTTTATAAATATTTCCATTTCCATATCCTGTGTCTGTTAACTTCAAATTGGATTAAAAATTGTCATTTATGGTTGATATCCTATCCGCACCTTGACAGCAGCTCTTCTCCGTTTAATTCTTCCAGAAATAATGTATATTTTTCCTCAACAATTTCCAAAAATCAATAAAGCTAACAAAAGGTCAAGGGTATTGAAGACTTTTCCACATTTATAAATACGAGGGGTATGTCTAGACAGTCACTTTTTTCGGTTAAAGCAGCAGAGAGAAGGAAAATATGAAAACAACACTTTTTTTTTTGCTCTGAATTTCCTTTTATGCAGGTATAAAAATGTTTTGCATTATATCAAGCTTGTCTGGAAGAAAAAAAATCCGATGGAAAAAGGGCTACATTTCTGTCTGGCTGTAAGGATTTTCATTTCAATTTTGTGCTAATTTAAAAAATGGCCGCTTACTCGCTGTTTTTTGCTCCTGCCTTTCAATTAACATGCATTCCAGCGCCTTTCTTTGCACTCTCACTTGTATGGAATTGCTTTCCCCTTTGTTTTTTTTTTGTTTTGTCCGCGCCTGCACGACTTGTGCCCCAGTCGGTTGCACTCTGCCAAAGACATTTTCAATGATACTTCAATACACACACATGCACTTAAGGTTGGCCTATCAAGTTGGGTTGATTCCGCCCATGGTCACTCACCCTATCCTTTAAAACATTTGGCCTATTTTGCACCTTTTTGCCTCATATAGACCCTCGACTCGACTCGGAATCATCCTGCCTCTTCTTCAACATTGTCAAAAATTCATTATTGAACAGTTTCCAAAAGCCCCTCATCGATGGAGCAGTGTATGGGGTGGTGCAAGGGCATGTGGAATATTCACGATTTTGAAGGATGAGGTGAAGAATATGTCCTGGCCAAGTGCTTTTACAGTAGCGCGATTGGCCCAAAACTGAATATCTTCTACTTGTTAATAATTCAAGAGCTTTTAATGCCATGAATATTCATCAAATTTTCGAGCATGATTTGATTTTATTGCGAATTTTCTGTGACGTGGCAAAATGTAGCTACGATCCCACACCATAGCCTTTGGCTAGTGTGGCTAGCTAACAAATGTGTGTGTGTGTGTATACCTTCGGTGTGTGGGTGTTTGGAGTGCTGTGCATGCCCTCCAACCTACTTTAGAAAACTGTGTGTGTGCAGACATTAAGCTTAACGCTATTTTATGGGGGAATATTAATCGATTAGGACATTTTTTAGTATTTCAAATACTTACCTAATGAGATAGGAGATCTCTTCTATCCAAAATTGAAGAGGAGAACACATTCCTCCTGATTTGATAGCCCCAAACGTGTTTTTGTTTTTTTAACAATATAAGACATATGAATCTACAGAATTAAATATATCGATTGATGGAGTGGAACTCTTTCTCGATTTACAAATACGCCAAATTAGGGTAAAATGACAGACAGACAACAATAGTTTCTGTAGTAGCAAGAGGGCTTTCGATTACTCGATGTATTCAGTTCAAGCCTATTAAATGGCTATTTGGTTATCAATTTCGTGTCAACCACCAAGACACCAGCACCCTTATTTTTTACTCCTAAACCCCGACATCCACTTTAAGCCATTCATCAATTGCTTGGTGTTTTCAAATCATTGCCGTTTCGTCCTACGAAACTCTACTACGTGAGACAAAGAAAAATGTCACTTGAAGTTCTGTCGATGCTGTGGTGAAGAGGAAGGGGTGTGGAGTTTTCCGTCAAATGAAATCAAATAATTTGCCGTGCATCTGATTTATGATTAATTTATAGAGCATACTCCACTAAGAAAAGGGGCATGCAAAAATCCTGACCGGCATGTAAATAAATTTCCAGCACACCCATTCCGATAAAGACATAAAGTCAAACTGGTACGAAACGAAGCGACAGCAGCACACATGACACGAGTGCTTTAAGAGAGAATCGGATACACTCTCTCTCTCCCTTGCTGAATATGGAGCGCTTAATATCGAGAAAGAGAAAATAATGTTGAAGGTCGGTGGGTTCGGCTAAAATACGAAGCCAAAAGTAGAGCAACAGACGGTGCACACGAAAGCCGGCTAAATACTGGCACGTTGTATAAGAGTGCAAGGGGTAAGCAAATAAAAATATAAGAGAGAGAGAGTGAAATAAAGGCATAAGCGTTTCAATTTGAATTTGTTTTACTTTTCGTGAACGCAATATAAGGGGAAAGAAGTCTTTCCCTAAATAAACTTTTATTTCCGACAGCAAAAATTACTTACTTATATGTGCTCCAAGATTAAGGATTCTAGTCTCTTTACTCGGGGAGTTTTTTTTTCGGGTCTTTGAACATTCGATAACTTTCATTAATTTATTTTCTCGTAAAAATCCAAATGTAGCTCGAGGTTTTCCACAGCTCTAACAGCAGCACTCTGATGCAATCTTGAACAGTGATTGCATTCTTTTCTCTATTCCTGTGCCTGCACCCACCATTATCCAATCTGTGTTTCGACACAATACTGAAAACATATTTCTGTTGCATTTGTCGCCGAAGCTGATCTCTCCGCCTCCGTTCGTCTGCCAAAATTCAAATATTGCACTAAACATAAATCGAAGCATTTTCAATAAATTCCCATGGCGTCATCGAAGTCTCCTCTATTTCTCACCAACACCCTCTTCTCCCCTACAAACGTACGTTCCGTTTGCGCTATTCTACTTTTTATACCCGGTACTCGAAGAGTAAGTAGGGTATATTGTATTTGTGCGGAAAAAGGGTATCACTTTAAGAATTAAGCGTTTCCGACCCCACAAAGTATATATATTCTTGAGCCGAGTCGATAGAGCCATATCTGTCTGTCCTCTGTCCGTCCATCCGTCTGTCCGTCCGTTGTTAAGCGCCTGGATCTCAGAGACTATAAAAGCTAGATCCACCAAATTTTGCATTACAGATGGCTATATGCTCACACTGTTGATAGATAGAATGATAAAATTAGTTTGCAGTGGCTACCCCCACCCCGTCCAGCAGGTTTTATGATTTTTTTAACATTTTCTCATTTTACATTCTGCTTTGTTCAGTGTGCGGCTCTAGGGGAGGAGGCCGAGATATAAAAGCGTGTTTGGGTGAAAAGTGATTTAGATGTAGATGTAAATGACATACATATGTAGAAAAATGTATAAAATGAAAAACTTGAAATAAACCACTAAGGTTCAGATTTACTACTGAATACCGGGTATAAAAGGTGGGACGCTTAAGAAGCGTCTGACACGTCTCTTTTCGTTTTTCTTGTATCTCCTCAAATCGAGGGGCGAACAATAAAAAAAAACTAAAAAATTGTCATCGAAACAGTGAGACACGAGAACAATGTGTTTCACTATTTGCAATTGAATTTGGCGAGTTGTTTTGCCATAGCGTCATTCCTCTTCCAAAAAAAAAACCGCTCCTTCGGTACTCCCTCTATGGTATTTTATTTGAAATGGATGCTGTTTTGGGGTGGCCATGGGGTAGACATTGGGGGGATCTATTGGATTTCGAACTGCAAAAGATGAAATAACTTTGTTGATTTTTTATATTGCCAAAAGAGGTTTAAGTTTCTGCCAGCTTGATTATTTTCAGTTGGTTTAATAATACTTCAAATATAGGGATAGGGACTTTGGTAAACGATTACTTTTACGAATTTGGAAGCGTTAGTGAAATTTGTCTAGTTTTCGTTTCATTCTAATTCGTCTGTTCAAATTCGAAAGAGCATCTATTTCTCATTCACAATACTTTCTATTTAAAATTTGCTAGTTAAAAAGTTTATTTGATATGTCCAAATCTAATGAAAACTTACCAAAAAAAAAAAATGAAAATTTTCAAAAAATTGCTGTTGAACATTTGTCAAATAACTTAAATGAACCGTGGGCCAGCCTTAGTCCAAGTCAAAACGAATCGCTGCATGAAATAAGCTCAAGTTTTATGGACAGCTTTTCGCATCAAGGGTCAAATAATGTGCACACGGTAATCGAGCATAATGTGACACAGGGGTTAATGGAACTTAAATCAATCACGAGTTGTAATGCATCCAACAAAGAGGCCATCATGAGCTTCATCGTGCCAAAGGTCATGGCTCAACTCGAGAGCCCGAGTGCACTCACCGAAGAGCTGCAGACAATCAAAACCGACCTCAAGACGTGCAAACTTTATTTGGGCGAAGTTAATAAGGATTTGGCTGATATATTTCTGGATTTGCATTATATATACAAAAAGCTTGAAGTCAAGAGTAAGAAAAACTTGACGTTGAGCAAGAAACATCGTGAGAGATTGTGGAAAAGTGCCCACGAAGCGGAGACCTTCCAGGAGCGTAGTAAGCATTTTCTTTCCAATGATCCCCGAGAGTTGATTGCCATGTTTGAGGCACCCAAAGAGCAGCCAAACGTAAGGAAATATTTTAAGAAATTTTAAAAATATTCAAACGAACGCCTACACCCGCAGTAGTACTGATCAGGGACTGAGCTGGATAAGGATTCCCTTCCTTCAATCCCTTAACAAGAAGGACAACGGAAAACATAGGGTGAGAGAGAGAGAGAGAGAGATAGATCCATTAAAAGCAATTCGGCATTTGTAGCTTTTAGGGCTGATTTTAAAAGATACCACAAACAAATGAAGTTGTCACCGGCTGCTGCCAATAGTCCCCAGTCCAGTCCCAGAGTCAGAGGCAGAGGCAGACGCAGACCGCGAAAATTTGCATCGGAAAACGGAAAGTTGAGCCAAAGGAAAGCTCGACTGGTACTGCCTGCAGAGTGCAGCATTCCAACTAACGAATAGTCTTTAATCTTCTTAAGTGCGATGGTCCGGTATGGCAATGGTCACATCTGTTGGACCGGGCCCGGAGCTGGACCTGTCATCAAAAGACAATGAGTGTGAGAGTTTGGTAATAAGCCAGGCCAAGGAGTAAGCAAGTCAACGAGCTTTTAAATGGTTAAACCACGAAATAAGATCCACAAATACACCTGAGAAAACCTCTCGGGGCTTTGGGGGGAATCATCATCAGCAAGCAGTACATTTTTCTGCTGCTATTATTAGTTGCTGAGCGCATGAAATCCCGTAGCTGGTTTATGGTATCAAATTAGTGTAGGGCCAAGACTAATTCGAAGAGCTTACCTTTTATAATGGGTGTGCTGTGCAGTACAAGGGTATATTGGTTTTAAATTTAGCAGTTCATAAGAAGTGACTTGCTTGCTGCTATAAACAGCCTGAGACTTGGCGAAAACTAAAATATAAAACGAGAAGGGACTTGTGAGACGCTTCTTCTTTTATAACCGGTACTCAGTAGGACATCTACACACATTTATAAATACACTTGTAGAAGTGATAGCAAACTGCCATCTGGATGCAGATTTTTGGTGGCTTTAGGTTTTATAGTCTGAGAACCAGGAGCCCAACAAGACGGAAAGATAGACGGCCAGACGAACGGACAGACAGACAGGGCTATATCGCATCGGCTATTCATGCTGATTAAGAATATTTATACTTTGTGATGTCGGAAACGTTTTCTTTAGTCTGTTACATTTTTTCCGCACATATGTATACAGTATACCCTATACTCTGCGAGTACCGGGTATAAAAACGAAAAAATAACAAAAAAAACATATGATTTGTGGGTAAACCTTAGCCGCAATACTCCCTCAGTGGTTTCTTGTTCTTTGGTAACATCTCGAGTATTAGCAGCAACAGAAGCTTTGCATAAGAATAGAGCTAGAGCGAGAGCATTTGGATGTATTTTCTTTAATGTGACCATTTGCTGCTTTAGTGGCTGCTTCTACTGCTGCTGTTGACCGAGTTGCTGCTGCCGAGATAGAGATAAACTTTTGCACTTACAACGCTCGGCAGGAGTAAACGATGAAGAAATAAGCAGCCCGTGTTAAGGGAAATGGCGTCTGAAGAGCGGCAGGGGGTAAAAGAAAGCGCAACTCGATAGCATCGAATCGAGTTTACTTTTAGTGCGTTTTTTCCCCATTTGGGGGAAAGGCTAATTAGCTCAAACACCTCTGTACTTCCCCTCCTCAATAAAACCTCCTGCCGTTTCTTTAAAGATCCTACGAGAGAAGGCTTTAAAAAGTTTTCCTTAGCTTGCAAAAACGTTGAAAATTTCCACTATTAACATATGCAACCCATCATGGAAAATGCTCTGAAATGTGAGGGAGAAAACAAGGTTGTCCTCCCCCATACTTAGGTGGTTTCCGTTTACATAAACTTTTGATGACTTTTTCAAAGTTATATGTTACGCATTCAAAACTCTTTCCAAGGACTGGGAACAAAGTTTATCGTGGGAGGCGACTTCAATGCCAAACATCCATGGCGGGGATCCAGATTAACTAACCCGAAGGGATCGGAGTTATAAAAATGCATACGAAACAATAACATAACGACTTTGTCAACTGGTGTGCCCACATACTGGCCAACTGATAGTCGAAAAATTCCAGATTTGATTGATTTCGTAGTATTATCTGGAATCCCACAATCACACATGCGAGTAATGGAAGGCTTTGACCTAAACTCAGATCATTCTCCAATAATAGCAACTTACAGCACAATAGCCCATATGTTGGAAAAGCCCTATAAAGTAATAACAGCCTCTACAGACTCACCTATAAGCCTGAACATTTCGTTAAAAACAGGAGAGGAGATAGACTATGCTGTTGAGCTTTTCACAAATACAATTCATAATGCGAGCTACAGAAACACGAATCATGCTCTTAATCATCAACAACCAAACCAAGTGTACCTTTCAACCGAACTTCAACAAAAAATACAAAATAAAAGAAATCTGCGAAAACGTTGGCAAGAAACGGCGACTAAATACCTAAAGAAACCAGCTGAAAGAAACATAAATATTCGCAAAAGCAACGGAACTTGGTGTAGGTCTAATAATGAACAAGCGGAAGCATTTGCTCAACATCTGCATTCTGTGTTTCAGCCAAACGATATAAATAATTGTATAATAGCTTACCTATTAAAATCATCAAATATGAAGAAGTTGTGACAGAAATTAAATGCTTGAACAATAAAAAAGCACCAGGCCCTGATAAAAGAGACGGCATCACCCAAAAAAGTTTACCACCAAAATGCATTCGGTTTCTCACTCTTGTATTTAACGCGATTCTCAGACTATACCACTTTCCAAGTCAATGGAAATGTGCAGAGATAATTATTATCCTAAAGCCAAACAAAATATAAACGGAATTGACATCATACCGTCCCATTAGTCTGTTGACAATTTTCTCGAAAGTGTTTGAAAAAATACTATTGAAGAGAATGTTGCCAATTTTGGACGAACTTTCCATCATTCCTGAATACCAATTCGGATTCAGGAGGGGTCACGGGACCCCTGAGCAATGTCACAGGGTTATTAATGATATAGTTTCGGCATTTGAAAACAAAAAATACTGCACTGCTGCATTTCTTGATATTCAACAAGCGTTCGATCGAGTCTGGCAAAAAGGTTTGTTGTACAAGATAAAGAAATGGCTACCTGATCCGTACCATTTATTAATCAAATCATATCTGGCTAAAAGATGCTTTTACGTGCAGCAGAAAACCGATACTTCATCACTACTTCTCATCATCGCAGGCGTCCCACAAGGAAGCGTATTGGGACCAATTCTCTACCCCCTATATACGGCCGACATGCCAGTTACAAACAACTGCACTGTTGCAACATATGCTGATGATACAGCAGTTTTAGCCACAAGCACATCTATAAATGAAGCTTCCGAACTCCTGCAGAGTGAGCTAAGCCTAATTGAAGACTGGTTCCTTCGATGGAAAATTATAATCAACTCCCTGAATTCCGTCCAAATAACGTTTTCATTAAGACCAGGTAACTGCCCAAATGTTATACTTAACGGCTCACCAATTCCACAAAGTACCTGTGTGAAGTATCTTGCATCTCGACCGCAGGTTAACATGAAAAAAACCACATTAAAGCAAAATGTCAACAACTTAGACTTAAAACACTAAAAATGTCCTGGTTGATAAGTCGAAAATCAGAAACCACTTTGGAAAACAAAATTCGCCTCTACAAATCCATACGAAAGGCTGTTTGGACCTACGCTATACAGCTCTGGGGGACTGCTAGCAACTCAAATATTGAGATACTTCAGCGTTACCAATCAAAAACTTTGCGACACATTGTCAATGCTCTGTTTTAAGTATCTAATACAAATATCCACAAAGAACTTAATATTCCAACCATTAAAGAAGAAATAAATAAAACTAGTAAGAAATACATCGACAGACTCCACAACCATGAAAATAATTTAGCCTTAAGTCTATTAGACAATAGCTTAACAGTAAGAAGACTGAAAAGATACCACATTCTAGATCTCCCCGATAGATAAATCCAACAAACTGAAAAGATGTTATATATAATAGCAGGGCCCATTGGAAAACTGCTATTTCTGTTAATTTATTATAAATTATACAATTTACTTATTGTTTAAAAAAACCGATTGAAAATATAAAGAGAGAGAGAGAAAAAATAAATATATGTTACGCAAATTATACGGTGGGACCAGGACCAGAAGTAGGATCAGAACCAAAAGAGCTGAAGTAAAAGATAAAGGCCGAAATCTCTCTTCATCACACATCATAATTTGAGAAGGCCTTTTGACACAAAATAGAGCAACAAATAAGACAAAATTGTGGCTAACTGTGGCGACTGTTCCGAGAGAGGACACTCGACTGGACTGCAAGTAATGGGCCAATAAATGGGGTAACAAAGGCCACGGGGGGAAAAGGAGAGAGAGAGTGTGTCGTCTGGGCGTTAACTGAGGGTCACCTAACCTTTCGACTTAAGGCAGACTTCTTAAGAGACCTGCCAAAAATTTTATTGAAGACTATTCAACTGTTTTGAAGCTTATAAAATTAAGGGAAAACCTATAGAAAAATGTGTAAACATTATTTGAATTATAAATTCCAATTACCAAATAAGTACGGAAATTACAAAATTATATTTGTTCTACATTTGTCATCTAAATCTAAATCACTTCTCACACCAACACGCTCTTTTAGCTCGCCCCCCTCCCCTAGAGCCACACACTGCATGAGGCGATAAAGAGCGAGCGAGAAAAAATGAAAACAATAAGCAAAGCTGCCTGGCTGGGTGGGGGTAGCCAATGCACAATGAAATTCTTAATTCTGGCTATAATAATGATCCAATTTATGATCTGATAGATATAGTCCTTCCCTACGGAATGGCGTCTTTAGTTTTCTTTTGTCTTGAAAATTGTGGCTGTGGGAGGGCTTTTTGCCCTTTGTGCGGTCCAAAGGGGATGGGGCTAATTGAAATACACTGGTTTCAGTGTGAGCATACAGCAGTCTGCAGGCTCCAGCCTTCACCGACGGACCGACGGACGGGGTAAGATTGGATCATTATTATAGGCAGAATGAAGAAATTAATTTGCAGTGGCTAAACCCACCCGTCCAGCAGCTTTTTGTTTGATTTTTGCACGTTCTCTCATTCCACACTCTGCTTCGAGTTGGTGTGGGAAGTTATGTAGATGTATATGTAGATGACATATGTAGAAAAAAGGTACAGATGTAGTACGGAGTACCGGGTATAAAAGTTGTGACGCGTAAGAAGCGTCCTCCTTTGTTATGTATATTTTTTCTGTGCGTATTTTTTCTATATCAGACAGGAGCGCAGGGCTGGGTCTGGGTCTGGTCAGACTAACGGACTGGACCTGAATCCCGCACAACCAAACATTTTGATTGTGCAAAAATTTTGTGTGATTTCCCCACGGAAATTGATGATGGTGTTTGCTGAGTCGCAAACGTGTTGCAGAAGTTAAGCGGATGGGGCGATGGGGCCACATACAGTGAATTTGTCATTTCTAGGTCCAAACGTGCAGACACACAGTCGATCCGGCGGGAGTGTGGACAGCGGAGACACCGCCAGCGTCAAAGCCGAGCCTGCTGCTCAATGTCGGTTCGCAGTGTGTGAGTTTCCACTAGAGATGACAACATGAGCTGGAAGCGAATGAGTATCGACAGGGTAATGAGATCCGTCATGCTTTGATTTAACTGTACTTGAAGAGGAAGAGTGGGATAAAGACGATTTGAGAGAGTATATCGAAAACAATGCTTGCCCATCTGTAGGGCATTAACTCATTCGTCTGTGCTGCTTGCATGGATGTCAGCAGCTATGGCAGAGACAAGGACTCGGACTGTCACAAGCACAAGAGAGCACAGTGAGTGTCGCTTTAACAAACCGGAAGTTACATGCGATGTAATGAAAAACGACAGAGTGGAAGTAGCAATGTGGGGGTGTCACCATGCCACACACACCCAGAACCAATACGATGACGAGGGTCCAGAGATTGTAGGTTTGTTCGGCATCGGCAGGTGGTGACTCTCGACGACGGCTCGGCGACTCGACAGCTGGATCTCCCAGTGAGTAGGTTTGGTTTAACGCTGCCGTTATTTAAAGACAATTGGTTCGTGATTGTTGAAAGCGTTCAGCGTCGCGTGGAATTCTCCATGGACCATGGACCATGGGCAACGGACATCGGACATTCACGCTCAACTCTCGACTCTCAGCATGGGCTTTCGCCTATGCCTCCTAAAAATGGCACGAAGTATGGTTGCAGGATGGTAGTGGTACGATGGCAGGATGATAAAATGAGCAGGAAGATCAGGAAAAAGCGGATTTTTTTGGTTAGGAAAATCCCCTTTCAAACTTGAAACTCAGATGAAGGCAATGGGAATATTATGATTTTAATTGGGATAAATTCAAATACACAGACTGAATTCTGGTTTGCGGATCTCTTTACTCGTTGAACGTCTCCAGCGGGTCTATGCCGGGACTATGATATACGGGTGGGAAAGTAAAAGAATTGGACACCAAGAACTAAAGAAAATTTATCTGTTTTAGGTTTATACAGGTATATGTTTTCTTAACGATAAATTCTCTGCATAATTCTATGTTTTTCTAGGGGGATTGCGATGGCCTCTTGGCTTTCAACAATATCAAGCATTTGTTTAGAGATTCGTTAGAGATCTCTTGGTGACTGCTTTTCATATTCAGGATCCCAAAAGCAAATTCTTCCAGCCGTCTTCTTCCGTATTAATATAAGGTACTTCAAATAAAATATTTACCTACTTTATTTATTTATGCAGATTAACATTAGCCACTTAAATACGCTATATATTTAACTTGATCAGTTCCTTTGTGTTTTAAAGTTAGGTTAGGTTGGCCGAACAGCGTTCAGTGGGGCCACTCATAGGGGAGTATGTATCTTAGTTATTCTGATGGGGGGTATGAACCATCGCGGCCGCATTTAGGCTCGCTTAAAGTCCTCGAGAATCGAGGTGTTCTTGACAAATGCAAGTAGTTCGCCTGACGTCATTTTTTAGGCATCTTTAAGGCGCTAAGGCGCCTAGGCATCTTTTCCTTGCTTGTGCGAGGGCCGGACAGATGCAGATGAGATGTTCCCTGGTTTCCGTGCCCCAGGCTCGTCACATTTCCAGCAGCTGTCTCGGCTGGTGATGCCTAGTTTGGTTGCTTGTGAGGATTCCCACTACTAGTCTGCAGTCCTTTCGTGTGAGGTGCACTGGGTAGTGGTTGAGCTGATGGCGTTCATTGCACATGGTTTTCGCGGTTCTGAAGGTGGTGGTACTGCTCCACGTGTTATTGCTCTGTAATCCGGCCTGCTTTTCTAGGTCGCTTTGTAGTGATCTAAGAGAGACCGGCACGCTCTTGAGTCTGTCATTCGCTAGTCCGACCCCTTCTTAGCTATTGCGTCCGATGCCTCGTTTCCTTCGATGCGACTGGGAACCAAGTAGATCCGCACTGACCTTGTCGTTCTTAGGGTGACTCCATGCTCGGCAGGACGCTTCTGGGACTGACCGCGGACGACTGAATGGATCTTATCGAATATGTTGCCCGCATCGTGGGCTCTTGCTATGTGCTGTGCGACATGCTGATTTCTTGATGCCGAAAACTTCCGCCTGAAACAAGCTGCGTCGGTCCAGTAACTTACACCACGCTAGAGGTAGCGCTTCTTTTCACACAACTTAGTTATCTTACATCTGGTTCCATAAAGCTGATAAATGTATCTATAATGTATACCTAAACACCTTCTGCTTTTAGCTTACCGTTTGAAAAAATGCAAAAATGTTGATTTTTGTGAGGTATTTTTTACAAATTTGTACCTTAAAAACTCAGGAAAAGTCGAAAAAAAGTAATCCTGTGTCCTCTATTTTGATATGTAAAGGTATATTATTTGAATGAACATTTTTAGCTCAGCCGACTCTCCATAAATTTTGATGCGCAGTACGTTAAACGACGCCCAATGAATGCAACTGTGCATACAAAAATAGTGGACTCAGGATTTAGGTATTCATTATAGATGCATTTATCAGCTTTATAGCATGGCTAAGTTCACTACAACCAGTTGTAAGATACTTAATTTATGTGTAAAAAAGAACAGCTACTTCTAAACCCGTTACCAGTTCTGCCATAGGAAAAAAACAGTATATTAGGAAAAGTCGGTTTAGTTCCAAGCGGAAAGAAAAAGTTTGATTTTGTCGAGTAATGTGATCAGTAAAACTGATCATGTCTCTGCCAATTGAACTATTCTGGAAGCGTGTGGTCGTCGTTGATACTGAGTCATACTGGATGAGGTCGTGCACCAGATTCCATAGGCGGGGAGACAGGACTCCACCTTGCAGTGTGCCTCTGTGGGCCCCCTGAGTGAACCCGTCTACAACTTAGGAGCTTAATAATCCATATGTTTATTGCTGGGTGGATGTTGGTCGCTTCTAGGAGTGCCATGATTGTGCCTGTGGCCACGTTATTAAATGCTCCGGATATATCCCCGAATATCTCACTTTGTGAAGGGCTTTCTCGATGACATCTACTAATGAGTGAAGTGCGGATCCCACTAATGGGTCTAATGTCTAATGGATAGCACGCTTTGCAGATTCGAGTTTTTAACGACGACGGCATCAGTACGGATCAGCCTGTAGTGAGTTGATTATTGTGTTCCAGTCGCTTTACAACCGACAGGAGCGGTGGTAGCAGTCTCTCTCTGCACCGACGTTTGGGTTGACATCCCAACCCGAGTTTCAAACGTCATCCGCTCCATTGTTGGCCCGAAAGTCCATGTGGCTATTATTTTGCGGGGGAACCACCCCCAGCATTTTGTGCCTACCTGCCTCTAGCTATGACATTGCTTCAGTTCCCCCGATTTGAGATCGGGAAGGCAATGAACGCGATCAAAGCAAGAGGCAATACATTACCATGTCTGGGATAATACAGTCCCCATTGCCTAGCCTGCATCCTCAGAGAGGGTTCGGCTAGACGAATTTTGCCAGTAATTTGATTGTATTTTCAGTTCCATTTCGTATTTGCATATTTATGTGCACTCACTGTCTACGTACCTCTCTCTCGCTATCTCTCTTCTCTCTCGCTTTTTTTCTCTAGCTCTGTATCTACAGCTCTTAGTTGTAGAGTCAGTGTTGGTTCCATAGCTCATATTTGTCTGCGGGAAAAGTGTTATTCGAAACAGCAACACCACAATAAACGAGTATCTTTGTTGCTGTAACACAAAAATAAGCACACAAATCTAAAATATTTGATGGAGTTCTAATCTTCACTGGGTCACAGATTTTTAGTGGTGATATCTTAGAGCCAAGCAATTGATTTTTCTGCACAAATGTGCCACAGTTCTGGCTATTCCCTGGAGCTAATGTAAAATTCAGCGTAAAATGGAACTGCTCTGCCAATTTCTCTCGCTAGCAGAATAAGATGAAATAAACACCGACCACTAATGCGCATTGATTTTTCAGTGTTATTTCCATTGTTATTCAAACGTTTTTGCCCCTGCCACTCCCTTCTCTCAATCTTTCCCAGCCCTGCTAATAGCAACGGATGTGGTTAAAAGCATTTGCCTGGTCTACCTTTTTCATAGACCATTAAATTTGCATTTGCTGATGTTGACTGGCGCGATTGGCAGCCACCAGTCAGCTCCATCTTCATCTCCATTTGGAGAAGTAAAAGACGTGGCAACCCATTCAGGGAAAAGGTAAAAAGGTTACTAAATATATTAGCAGCATTTCTTTGGCAAACCTTTTTGCACCAATATTAATAATATGGCAAAATTTAAACTAAATATAAAATATAAACAAATATTTTCTATAACTTATTGAATAAAAATTCGAAAGCTGACTACCCAAAGTGTGAAGTTAGTGGTCTTGGTGTCCATTGAGTCATAAATAGAATGAATAGAATGAATAAAACTACACCCAATGCGGACATTAACTTGTCTTTTCGGGTTAAGCCGTGAACATATGAACCTCTATGCTTTGATTTGGATTTTTTATGCCGAAGTTTTTCGCCTTTGAATGCTCGAATCAAATAAGGGTCTAACAATTTGCTGTGCAGCGCTTCTCCTGTTTCGGGTGCTGGTAAACTTACCAGCAGGAGCTGTGAATTTGGCTTGGCCTGTGGATGAAAAAAATCCAAATCAAAAGATTTTATTTTCATTTGCGAGGAAGATAGATTTAAATTACCATTAACATGGCTTCGCTGGGTGTTTTGGAGCCGCTGGGACTGTTCTCATTTGTATTCTTCATAGTAGATCTATTACAGGTTTCTTCAGGAATTAGCTTTTCGTATTTTCCCTTGCCCTCAGGTTGTTTCACTGCATTTTCTGGAACTTTGGCGAGAAAAGTGAGGGTCTCGGGTCTCTTGGTTTCGTTTGTTAGCATACGATTAGGTTGCGATTGTCGGCGTAGTACAGCAAAGTAAGCTTCAGCCATGGATAAACATTTAAATTAATATTTAAAAATTGCAAAAATATTTAACTTACATTTGGGAGATTTATGGGATATGATGTTGGTTAAGAATAGACGCCATAAAACTTAGAGAATGTTGGGTCAAGGCTTGCTTTGAGCTGTCAGATGTTTGAAATAAAACAAAATACCCTCAACTTTTGGATTAGATATTTCAGTAAGAGTTCCCAAAATGTTGGTGCTGGTTTCACAAATACAAAGCGCAAAAAGAGTACGAATGCCAAAAAAAAAATGGTAATTAGGCATAAGGTTGGAGCCCACACCAAATACTGCACAGTGCTTTTTGAATGGAATAACGTTAGAGAATTGTATTTCCCATTGCATTTGGAGAGCTTTGGCAACTGAAACGAAGCTTTGATCAGCTGAACATTGTCTTTAGCTTTTGTTAGAGTATCCAAGGAGATGGGCTGAATGTTTTTCATGGTTTTAAAAGGCTTCAAGTATTTGTTCATGTTAAAATCTTTGGGCTGAGCTTTTTTGGATTTAGATAGTGATTGAAATCTAGCAAGCTGCTGATTTGTGTATATTTTTTTAATTTCGTTGTACTGAGGACAAAGAATTTAACTGTTGGAATTTTTTCTTGTAGAACAAGAATTTACCTTTGAACGGCTCTGCTCATGCTTCCTGCTGTGTTTCTTATTCCCCAGGCCAAAATAGTTTTCCGATTGAGTCGTTGTGGATTCTGTATTCTGCAAAAAATTATCCCTTTTATATATAACTGAACACTCTTCAATTGAATTGTTGTTTCTATCACTAGAATTTAGGATTTGGGAGTTGATTACAATTCTGCTCATATAATTTCGCTCATTTTGTTCAAATTCCTGCAAGGAAATTTCGGCGTTCTGAGGCCCTCCAGCGTTGCTAGTAATTTCATATAAACCTTCTATGGCACCATTGTAGCTGTGATCTTTGTTTGAGCTATGTTCTTGTTCCAGTTGGAAATATTTTTCTGGATTATTATTGGCATCTTTTTCGGTATTTTTATCGGCATTTTGTTTGTCCTGATACATTTTCATTTCATTCACAACTGCCTCCATGCGTTCAGTTTTTTCCTTCATTAATTCCGCCTTGGGGTTCAATTGCATTTTCTTCTTGCTGAGAACACCAATTTCTTTCTTGGTCCTATATGTGGATGTGCCACATACGCGAGTTGCTGAGCGATGTAAGTTTTTGACATTATCAATGGTCTGAACAGTGCCAGGTCTTGTGGCTTCCTGCAGCCATCGCAGGCTCTTTCTGAGAGCATTGGCGGTTTTAGCACCACTCTGCAACTCCACAGTATTGATAAACTCTAAAGGCTTAAGCAACCCAAAGCAATCAATGTTTTCCTCTAGTGCTTCTTCCTGTATTGTGGCAAGTTTCGGCGCTTTAAATACTTTTTTATCGATATCCTTATCCTTATTTCTTGGCTCAGCTTTTTGAAGATCTTTCCCATTATCGGTTAACTTGGGATTGAAATAATTATCCATATCCTTGCTCATTTGTTGCATGTGTTTCTTTTCTACACCAATTACACCAACTACACCAACCCACATGGTCTTCTCATCCTTCGTCAACCGATATCGAGTTCTATTAATATCCTGTCCGCTGGGCAGCTTTGAGAACTTGGGCCGCAAGCCACGATCTATGATGTTGGGGGCACTCAATTGTCCCACACGTATGGATTCCGTGGTCACAGCCAGAGACTGAAGCGGCGGTTCATTTGATTTTCTCTTTAGGTAGGGCATTGCTTTTATTCTGATAATTTTGTTGTATGGTTTTAAGGATATTTTTAGCCCGACCTGCTTAGTTTGTGTTTTAATTTATGTGAATTATACAAAAAAGTTTGGGCGCACTTCAAAGCATTTTATCAATGCCTATCCACGGCACGTGCCCTTCCCCGCCAATTGTACAAATTGAATCCAAGAGTCCTGCGTGGAATGGTTTTGGGGGGAATATTGTCAACATCTGCTTCTGGTCTGGCGAACACATGAATCGTTTTGGCACAAATGCAAATCGCGCGAATCTTTACAACAAATAAACGCTGCCTCTGCCCCGGACCCCTCTCTACAACCCTATGCACGCCAACAATGACAGAAGGGAGAAACGAGAGCGAGCTTAACAATGTAAAATGTTAAATAATTATTTAAAACAGTCGTCGAATGTTGCGGCGGGGCAGGGGATGATACCATAAAATGTTAACTGTTTACTTTTTATCAAAGTTATGGCCTAATGCAGCTGCCACTGGCCAGCTATAGCCTTGGACGGCTTTGCTATCAATTTACACACAAAGAAAAACAACAGTAAATCCTTCAAACTGTGTGGGGTGTGTGGGGGTTTTACGGAAATATGACAACTATAGAGCGCAAAAGTTAGGGTTTTTTAAGTAGGCAAAAAAAAATTCTGAAGAGTGTAAAAGTCAAATTAACAAAATGAGTAGGGCGGGAGAGATGTGGAGGGAGTTGTAAATACGTAAACTGCCAAGCAAAGGCAACACACGCACAAAAGGCTTGGGTTTGTTAATGTTAAAGCCAAAACCCACAAACCCCACAAAACCCTACCAGAAACCCTTACCAACCAGGCAATTATATTTATGTTCCCATTTTGTGCATAAAGCGGGGGCTGCTGTCATTCTATGTTTACTTGAAAGCAATTAAAAGCAAAGCCCCCCCATCATACTACTATACTTCTTCATATTTGTGTGCGAATATTTACTTAGAAGGGATGCTACATCTCGACTGGTGGAAAAGAAAGGCCTCGCAGTAAAATGGTCACTCAGGAAACGAACTTCGTTTATTGTGTCACGGATATATATCTTTCTTTCAGGAATTCTTTCTCTCCTTTACAAAACACACACACACACACAAATAACCTACGGGCCATAAAAGAAATACGTTTGCTACGTAATAAAAATTGAGTAAGCGCTGCCCATTACACTGAGCACAGACAACAGAGAGATGACTGCAGTCAGAGAGAGAGAGAGAGAGAGAGAGATTCACAAACACAAACTACTCCTCCACCCTACACCCACCATTCGTTGGTCTATTATTGTGTGTATTACTGTGTGCTATTTTGCTCTGGTCTATTATTTTGAGTGCACAACTTGTAAGAAACAAGAAAAAAAAGATAGCACACAATGGGGTCCAATAGACGGAGAATTTTGAAGTGTCTGTGACATCAGAGAGAGTCAGGCGAGTCCATTTCATCAATTAATCTCGTTTAAACGTTTGCCACACAATCAATTAAAAAGTTTTTATTTTTAGTAACAAAGGATTGTGTGTGTGCGGCATCATATAATAACCCCGATTAGGGCTTAAAATCTACACAAAGAAATGGTTGGATAAATGCAATCATGAGATGAGATATACGAGCTAGAGCCATAAACATAACTGTGGCAGAATCTCAACACTTAGAGGTGGAATATTTCAATATGTTTACCTTATCCAAATCCCATGATAGTGCGCAAACCAAATGCAAATATCGACTTTAAAAATGTTACTTTAAAAATATACTTGATGCTAATGGAATGGAAGAGGCCATCCGACTTGCCACTTTGCCACACATTTACATTCATTCACACAACACAATAGAGCTACGTATTCAGATTCAAATTGAGTGGGAGCACCTGGGGTTACAGATACAGATACAGCTACACCTGCAGATACGGTTCAAGTAACAATCAAAGGTTTGCTCCTCCTCCTGCTGGTGCTTCTCTTTCGCAAAAAAGGTTCATTTTTCAAGTGGTTTACCACATAAATTTGCACTTTGTTTTGTTTACAGAGAAATTGAAACAAAATAAAGCAAAGTGAGGAGCAAAAAAAAAAAATACTACGGCTATCTGTGGCAGGTAATCTCACTTTGAACTGTACTTGTGTAATTTTTTTTATTGAAGGAGAGTTTCTGATGATAATATTGAAGTGGTGGTCTTTTCAGGTTCTTTGATGTCATTTAGCACTCTTAGAAGCTCTGGGAAGTACACATTATGTCGATTTAGATGGATGGTAACTTCCGATTTCTTGAGCAAGAACATATTTTTAAGGAACTGTCGTTTTGCATGACTATCCATCTGCGTTTCGCATGGCGAACGTTTAATTAGCACCCCCACAGACTCAGATTGTCCACCTTGATGACGAGGATTGACAGATGTTGAGGGTTTCGATGGATCCTCCCACTGTGGCTGCAATTCTTCTGGAACTTCGGAGGTTTCTACGTGCATATCTGATGATTTTACTGGGACTTCTAAGGCTTCCTCTACCTTCACACGTTCCTTCTTGCTTGATTTAGACCTCCTTCTATCGTCCTTTTCAAATCGTATGAAGATCTGATACATGCTCAAATATATATCAGCTATATCTTCGTTTATTTGTGCCATGTTTTGTTTATAGTTCTCCAAGGTGTTTTTCATTAACAGAATCTCATGCGAAACCATATCCATGCGGTACTGAATCTCCGAACCCATCAGCGTCTTGAGGACCTCCCTATTCAAATTCACTCTAGCTTCTGTATGCGATCCGATGGATTCAATGGAGCTGGAACTCAGTTTATGCAGAGACTCCACTTTTGGTGACTTGTGACTTGATCGATCATTTAATGGATTGAATTTCGTCATATTGCAAGTTCAAAAGTTAAAACATTCATTTATTAACATATATTTTTGTTGTTTTATATGGATGATGCTATGGAAATGAAATTTTCCATGCTACATTGATAACAAAACTAAACTTGAAGAGTGGGGAATTTTATGGGAATTTATAGAAATTATGGATATTAAGTAGGATTTTTTTTAGACAGAGATTAGTTAGAGCGGTCAGTGGGAACAAGGATATTGTCAGTGAAGTAAATAGCTGACTACTTAATTTTGACACTTAAAAAGCTTATCAGCCAATTGTTTTATTGTTTAAAGTTTTTAGACCCTGTACTCGATGAGTAAATAGTGTATATTATATTTGTGCACAAAAATTGGATATATGTAACACACCGTAGGGAATGACGTCATCTATCAGATCACCTAATTGGGATCCGATTAAATCATTATTATAGCCAGAATGGGAAAATAGTTTGCAGTGGCTACCCTTACTTCTTCCAGCAGCATTGTTTAGTTTTTGCACATTCTCTCATTCCACACTCTCCTTCGTGCAGTATGCTACCCCTCTTGGGTAGGGGGGCGAGCTAAAAGAGCGGGTTGGCGTGAGAAGATGACATGTAGAAAATATTTTAAAAATATACTGACTGAGTACCGGGTAAAACGTAGTGACGCGTAGGAAGCGTCTCACGCATCCCTCCTCGTATATTCTGTATAGATGCATTTATTTGGCGTCGTTTAAGAGATTGCTGATTAAAATCTATGGAGCTCCAAAATAATTTTTCATAAAGCATGTTTAAATCCCCAATTTTATCAAGTTGGTTTGGTGTGAATCGGAATAATTTTGTATGGTAGTGTGTTATCTGTGTATTGTCCACAAATACGACTCACAATTCTCGGACCTGAAGCATCGGCTTGATGTAAAATGTTGCGCAGCGTGATGTGATGGGTGTTGGAAGGTCAATTACCCTGCCATTTAACCTTATTTAAAACATCACTACGCTGATTTTCATTGATTTGCTGAGCATAATGTGCATTCATCCCATCCCTGATGCATTGAACTAGAATGCAGATAAGCGAAAAAAAAAAATTATCCTACAACAAAAAAATACATAATTCCTTCTTCAAACATAAAAACCAACCACTGCATTAACATTTTCTTTTGTATTTATTTTTTCTTTTTTTTTGGGTGTGAAAATGACAAAGCACAAGTGAAGCCGTTGGTACGTTGCGAGGTGTCAAATCACTTAAACTTAGAACGCACACAAAAGCTCAAACTCACGCAACAACAAAAAATTCCACTCAAACCCGAAAGCAATTCCCAATAATGGCATGGCCATAAAATTATGAACTCTGTTTGTGTTTCTTTTTCTTCTCATATTTTTGCTGCGTTTGGCTGCTTTTTTCTTGGGCAATTTGATATTGGAGACGGCATTAACTTAACCATTCGCATGATTATCACTCTTGAGAGTTAGTTGGTTAGTTGTTAGTTGGTTGTTGCTTGTCTGTCATGACTTTTGCTTTTTGGTAGAGTTGATGAAATTGATTTTAAACAGTGGCTGAAAGAAGTTGCAGCCTCATTGCCACATAGTGGTGACGCCAGTGGACGCAATTGATAGGCAAAACTCAATGCTAAGTGCATGACTCTGCATGACAGGAAGTGTATTGTATCGGCGTCTGTACATACATATATAGTGGAAAATGCCCAGAGATGAGTCGACTATGTGGTTATTTGTGGGCCTCTGTGAGTGACTTTTCTCATGGTAAAAATTGAGTGACACTGGTGCAGACTCAATAATGGTAGCATAGGGAAATTGAGGTTTCCTCTCAATAAACTTTCCCCTTTAATAAACACCAATTGATCATGTATCCATTTCGATTTGGCATTACGTATGTATGTTTGTGTACCAGGCACACACATGGCACACAACTGGCAATCCATCTCTCTGTAAATACTCACTAGATAAATCCTGTCTATATGCAATGCAATGTGCTCAAAAGAAACCATAGCCAGTGAGCCCATCCCCTCTACATCCTAACTCTTTCAATGCATAATGCAGGCACTTTTCAGGCAAGTGGAAATTATGTCAAAACAAAACGAGTGCAACTCAAGTCACTCGTTAGTCTGAGAGGCATTTCAATTAAAGCCTCGCAAACAGTACGAAGAGTAGCACCCACGCACACACGCACACAGGCATACAGACGCACATGCACAGAGCGAAATGAGA